CCATGGGACTTGTTGGAAAACAAAACAAATCCCCGTGGATTTGTTTTCAGCACATTTTCTGGCTGATGAGCTGTGGTTTCCCCTCAGGTCCGGTTTGTGAACAGCACGTGGATTTTTGGAAAGGCCATGTGCCACATCAGCCGCTTTGTGCAGTACTGCTCCCTCCACGTCTCCACACTGACCCTCACGGCCATCGCTCTCGACAGGCACCAGGTGACACTGCCTGCCCCTCTTCCTTCCAAAGCTCTGGGAGCAGACTTGAGCTATGACAAGTTTTTTACCTGTGTTTGTCCATGGCCATCACAAATGCTGGCTCTGTGTCCAGTGCAGGGCAGCAAGAACAGCCCAGGCCATGTGCTTGTCCCTAGCAATCACTCCCCTTTCATGTGCTATTGTCAAATAGCAAGTTCCAGACTATAACATTTTATCAGCTTAAAGATCTAACAAAGAAAATTTCATGAAAGGTGAATTTCTGCCTCAGCAGAGGGGAGGAAAGCTCAGCTTCACAGGCCCAGCTAGAACAAGAGACATTTCTTACATAGTTCATATAGAATAAAAAACATACCCTTGAGGGAAGACACTTGGGTACATACAATCTTTTTTTCTTTTTTTTTATTTTTTTGACCTAATGTAACCTCCTGCTTAAGGAAAATGGTTCTCAAATAACAAGATTGTAGGATAAAGTTTGAAAGCTCTTCTGAGCAGACTGAGAATTTCAATATTTCCCATTTTCCAGGTCACTCTAATGAACAGGACATTTCCCTATTCATAGCTGTCATTTTCCTATCATTAGCTCTGTTAGGTTATGTCAGAAACTGCCAACTCCTGTTGTGGGCTGTGAGGGCTTTTGCTTCCTGTGGGAGAAGAGTCATGATGGAATCTCTATTGCAGGTAATCCTGAACCCGCTGAAGCAGAGGATGTCCCTGACAAAGGGAGCTCTGAGCATCTCTGTTATCTGGCTGATGGCAACCTGTTTCTCCCTGCCCCATGCTGTCTATCAAAAGCTTTTCCAGTATAACTACAGGTGAGTGATCTCCCCTTCCCAGTGAGCGTGTGGAGCTCTGGCAGCCCTTGTGCAGTGCCACTTGCTCAGCAAGGAGGGCACCTGAGCATGCCAGGCACGGGATGGGTGATGTGGGATGAGAGGGAGTTGGTGCATGGGTGACATCCCAGCAGAGGCTGGGGCTGTGGAGGAGCTACCTGGCCTGTGCTCTGCCTGGCCTGCTGGCCAGGGTTTGCTCTTGCCACCTCCTGTGTGCCCAGACAAGGCTCTGGGTCCCAGTCCCAGGCACAGCCTGGCTGGAGCACAGCTGTTGGCAACACACACCTCCTCCAGTGCCACAGCCTTGTCAGGAGAGGCTCGGTCCTGAGAAGGTAATTTTCTCCTGAGAGACTTTCCTCTTCTCTCCTTTTACCTGCTCAGCTCCCCAGACCCAGCCAGACCAAGCCCATCCAACTGCCCAGGCAGGGAGGAGAGAGAGAGTCAAACTGCAGTTTCAAAAAGAAAGAAAATAAACTTCTTGTTGGGAATACCTGCGCTGACATCACCAAGGCTCTGCAGCGAGCAGGAGCAGGGGACCACCCTGGTTTGTCAGCAGGGCTACTGGTCTCTCTTCCCCAGGATTTCATACTTTGAGTCTCAGGTTTTGGCTTTCCTGTATTTCATCCATGTGGATTTACAAAGCAGGACTAACCTTCCCTGAAGCTTGAGATTCCTCTGTCCAATGTTACACTAACGAGAAAAACATAGAGAACATATATTCTTCATGCAGCAGGGCTGTGGGGGACCAGTGCTTTGGCAGGAAGTGGAGCTGTCCTGGTGTGGCATGGTGCCTCTCCTCAGGAGAGGGAACTAACTCTTTGCTTGGCTGAACATAATGACAGCAGATGAAATGAAATTTCAGATCAGCATAAGGACTGAAATACCAGGAAAAAAAGAAGGTTCTAATGCAGAGGGAAAGAAAGAAAAAGAAAAAAAATTAAAAGCAGAAGCTTATCTCCCCACAAAAGACCCAGCAATAGCACTTGTCTCTGCTGTCACCCTCTGCCAGGAAGAAATACAAAACCCAAACTCTGGTGTTCTTTTACCTTGCAGTCCTTTCCTCTGTGGTACCCAGCGTGTTCTGTCCCTCCTGTCCCCACCAGCCTGTGGCATTGCTGTGACCTCTCTTGTCTAGAAAACAGTCTGTAACAGTACCCAAGTGGGATTTTTGTGGCAGGTGTCATGCTGCTGGTGCTGCCCTTCGCAGGAATGCCAGCCTTGAGGCCAAGGGGATAATCTTACCATGACCTGTATTTTCAGGCTGAGATCAGCATCCCAGGGAGTGGGGCAAGGAGACACTGACAGGCAGCAGGAATGAAATTTCTATTGTAGACATTGACCTTCTGTATAAAGAACAAATCTAATTTCCTGCAGCCTAGCCAGATCTCTCCTGTTGATGAGGCAGGAGAGTGTGAGTCTGTCACTGCTTTTGGTGCCCAAGGGGCTGCAAGAGCTGGAAGTGGGATGGGGGCTTCACAGCCCTCCCCTGCCTGTGCTTGTGCCTGATGTGCCTGACATAGCCAGGGGATATCATACCTCTAACTGCAGACTGTAAACACAGGGCAGGGTTACTCCGTGCTTGCGTCGCTCCGCAGCTGTGCTTGGGGATTAGGGGACAAATTGCTCATGAATGAACGAACCCCACGATCTCTTTCGGGGCACCTGTCTCTGCTCATCCTTTGGCATGGCCAGAGGAAACCGAGCCCTGTGTTGGCACGAGGCAGCTCAGCGATATAAGGACTTCCAGGACATGCTATTCCTGTCCCTGCTTTCCATTGAAAAAAAAATCACAGTTGTAATATTGCTTGTAATAGCTCCTGCAGGCCCAGGGCTCCTGAGATTGCTACCAGGGAGTGGTTAGGGTTCTGGAATGGGAAACAAGGGCTCCACCAACATCCATCTCTGGCTGCACTACACAGCAGTCATCTGAGTCCCTGCTCATATCAAAATTCACCGAACACTGTCCTGTCAGGTCCCCTGTGCTGGTGGTGAGGTCCTCCAGATCCAGGGGAGACAAAGTCAAGACTGCAGTTCAAAAAAAAGATGATTATCCCTTCTGCCTCAGTTCCCATCTCGAGTGGCGTCTCTGGGTCCTCTGCACTTGGTGACCTATTGCCACTCCTGACCTCATCCCCTGCTCCAGCTGCCTGTTCTGAGCAATCTATTTGTGGCACAAAAGGCAGCTCCAGCAGTTGAAAACAGGATATTAAAGATACAAATCAATACTGCAGTGAATAGTACAGCTTGATGGGAGCTAAAATCTGTGCTGAATAGAGGAGAACTGAGGACAAGGGATGAAGAGAGAAGAGTAAAATGTAATAAGAGAAAGAGAGAGGGGAAATGAAAGAAAAGGAGAAAACATCCACTGTAAATAAATTCCATTACACCAGCTGCAGGGTGTGGAGGGGACATGCAGTGAAGGGTGAGGGAATGAGAGCCACTGCTGGCCAGGCAGTGGGAACACACCCGGATCCTGGGGCTGGATGGGATGGAACAGGTGTAAGGGGCTGTTAAAATGAGCTGTTGTGGATGGTTACACTCAGTTCTTTTATTAGTTAATTGACAGTGGCTCAACTGGAGCCAAGTGAATCATCATCACACCAGTTTTAAGAGGTAGCAGGAAGGTTGTAGGAGCTGATGGCAAGGGAATGGTGGGTAGGGAAGGGAAGGGAGGTGGGCTGGTCATGCCTGTGAGGCTTTCTAAAAGCCTCCAGCCCTCCCCTCCAAAACAGCTTTGGCTTAGAGCTGCTGCAGTGTCTCTGGCTGAGGGATCCTGTGCTGGGGGCTATGGCAGGACAAGGGGTGCTGGCTGCTGGGGGACACAGCAGGGTGGGTGCTCCCACGGAGGGCAGGGGCCGCAGTCCAGCCTGAGAGAGACATGGCAGAGCTGTGGCTCTGTGTCCTCCTCTGTCCACACTACACCTCTGAGCAGGCGCCTGTGGGCAGTGTGAGACCCCCACTGTGGTTTGCTGAGCCAGCAGCACCCATGGGACAGCAATGGCCACATGCCATATCTGTATTTCCTGTTTTCAAGGGAAGCCACTGTCCGGAGTCTGTGCCTCCCTGACTTCCCCGAGCCCTCAGAGCTGGTCTGGAAGTATCTGGACCTGTCTACCTTTCTCCTTCTTTACCTCCTGCCTCTGCTGATCATCACTGTCACCTACATGCGTCTGGCCAAGAAGCTGTGGCTCCGCAACGCCATCGGGGACGTCACCACGCAGCAGTACGCCACCCACCACAGGAACAAGAAGAAGAGCATCAAGATGCTGATGCTGGTGGTGGTGGTCTTTGCAGTCTGCTGGTTTCCCCTGAACTGCTACGTGGTGCTCATCTCCAGTCTGGGCATCAAGACAAAGAACTCGCTCTATTTCGCCCTGCACTGGTTCGCCATGAGCAGCACCTGCTACAACCCCTTCATCTACTGCTGGCTGAACGAGAGCTTCCGCGCGGAGCTGCGCTCCCTGCTCGGCATCTGCCAGAGGGTGCCACGGCCTCGGCGCCCGGCGCTGCCAGCCAGGGCCGTGTCCTGCCGCGAGGCGTGGCTGGAGCAGGCCAGCTGCAGGAAGGGACCAGCCTCCCAGGCCAGCTGCTCCACCAGGAACCTCCCGACAGCCAACACAGACCTGTGAGCCACGGGAGCTACCTGCTTGTGGGAAGCATCAAAGGGCATCTACCAGTCTCTCCTCAGGAGCCAGCACTGCTGCTCTGTTGTTCTGCTGCTGATTTTTGACTTGTCTTAGCCCCTCCTCTGCTTGGCAGAGTGGGCACACAGCTTCTCCAGCACTCTACCAGTAAAACCCACGCTGCAGCTGGCCCAAGGGGCAGGAATATGTACAGGGGACATGGAGCTTCTGAGACATCATAATCTGCTTTCAGGTTTTCCCATTTATTACTATCAGAGGGAGCAGACACAGGTTTCTGTCACTGGCCTGTAACACATGCCATAACGTGGGGCTGTGCACAGTGGCAGAAACAAATCCGTGATGACAAGTGTTTGAAGGAGGGACTTGGACATGCAGATGAACTCCATCCACAGGCAGCCTCACCAACTAGAGTATAGCAAAGCCTCCAACAGAGGTAAGGATTGTTGATGGTGATTTTGCTCTCAGATTCGGTTGCTCCTCCTGCCCTGTCTCTGTCCCACCCACAGCAGCTGGAAGCCAGCCCCAGACAAGGGGAGCAGGGATGCACCCCAGGAGCCATGGCTGTAGGCTCAGATGGAGCAATGACAGATTAATGTAGTCCACTGAGAAGTTCTTTTTATTATAAATATATTAATTCAGTAAAGAGAGCTACACTGGCACTTTATAAAAGGCCACAAAATATTTCATCAGGGCTGTAGCATTCACTCACTGAAGAATGGAATCATTCTGCATTGTTACTAGTTGCTGTAAGAGTCTCACTTAAACAACAGGAGGGCAAGGAAGGGCTGGAAGGAATGTCCTGTGAGGAGCAACCAAGGACTCTGGGGCTGTCTAGTTGGTGCAAACCAGGTGATGGATTTCAGCAGCCCAAGGGCAGCCATGTCAGCTGGGGGGCTCCTGGTCTGCCCTGGTCATAGCCCAGACAGATCTTCTGCCCAGAGAGGGGCTGGGTGGCTTGAGGCAATAAGGACATATTCCCACCACCTTCCCAGGGGAGAATAAGCCAGACCAAAGAAGGGAAACTAAGGACTGATTTTTATGGGTTTTTTGTTTGTTTGTTTGTTTTGTTTTCTATTTGTGCAGTGGGAATGAAAAGGACAGAAAGGAGGGGAGTCCTTCCTTCAGGCCATTTGACCCCAGCTGGGCACCTTGGGTGTGCACTGCAGTGCCTGCACCAGAAGAAAACAGCAGAACACAAGGAGTGGCAGCAGGAATAGGTGAATACTTCGTCCCTGAGGCACTTTGCTTGGAGCTCACGATCATTGAACATGGGAATTCAAAGCTCTCTGTGCTGGTTGCCAGCACTGTCCTCCCTCAGTATACAGAAGGGTTTGTTTTCAGTGAAAAAACATCACTGTGAGTTTCTCAAAATGTTAATCTCTAATTAATAAACATCGCCTCATTTAAATAGTAAAATAAGCTATTATTTGGTTTTTTTTACTGTTCCTCGCTCCTCACTAGCTTTTGGTGAGCAGCTCTCAAACTGCCATGTATTGTCTGATATTTATTAGGTTTGTTTTCCTTCCTTTCTTTTTTTAAATGACCGAATAACCTTCTTTTGGAGGAGTCCAAGCCCTTACTCCAAAGAAGGGGTCTCTCCACACTCCCTTGATCTTCTGCTAATCCCTGTAGTTAGCTATCTCTTGCTGTCAGAAATAACCTGGCTGGTTTTCCTTGGATCTGTCAATCGCAGCATCTCCTCGTTGCTGGATTTTTCTCCCCTAAATGGGCAGGATGTAAGAGCTGACTGTATCGAATCTCCATAATGGCTCAGCTATCTGGGCTGATAATTATCAATGCCTGAGTGAGATTCAGAGCCTCAAGGCTCCTGTATCACTTGAGGATGCCCTAACTCCCAGCAGCTCTCAGGCAAACATAGAATGTATAATGTATGTATTAAAAAAGTATAACCTGAGCATCGTTTGACCAGGGCATGGACAGAGCCTGGGGGGCAGGAGGCTGCATCTCTGCTGGACTCCAAACCAGGCTCTGCAAAAGGGAATCTGTGAAATTCTGCTTCTGCTTGGTCTGAATCAACTCAACACGTAAATAGATGCTTCAACATTCCTTACAAACATTCCTTCATCTGTCTCCAGTCCCGCCGGGCACCTGTGGGATGCGAGGGAGGGCTCCCAGGGACGGAGCAAGGCTGTGCTCCGTTCCCGGCCAGGGCGGCAGCAGCAGCGCAGCTTGCTCCCTGCACACGCGAGGCTGGGACCCGACAGGAGTGCGGGGTGCGAGGAGAACACGCCGGGAAGCCTCTGCCGTGAGGAGACCCCTCCCTGCTCCCGTCCCGCCGCTCACCGAGCGCTCCCCGCTGCCCGCGGCGCGGCTCTCTCGGCAGGCAAAGGCCCCCGGCAGGGAGAGTTTGGAGGGCAAATTATTGAAACACTGAGTCACCACAAGTCTGCTCCCGGGAAACTATTTGAGCTCACACAAATCAGTGTGCAAAGATCCAGCGAGACATGTCTGAGTGATTAACAGCCCGATTTATTAAGGTTAGCTCATGCCAAGTGCAGCAGAGTGCCTTCAGCAGAGTTGCTGATGAAGACGATAACAGGGAACGCAGAGCAGGGGATACCTGAATTCCAGAGACAGATCCTCTTATGTAGCCCCACCACATAATGAACAAAGAAACCACAACATGCCAACTAGATTAACAAAAAGCTAGCAGAAAAAACCCCACAATGAGTCAGAAAATTAGCTCAGGAAGGAGAAACAGAATACAATTATCATCACTTAGCTCTTCAAGTGGAAAACAGTACGGAGGGGCTGGCCAAAGCACGCTGCTGGGATAAGGGGGAACGTCCTCGGTTAAATCCAGTTTAAGCCCTGGACGGGGGGTGTAGGTGGGCCAGTGTCAAACCATCATCTGCACTGAGAAGTAAGTCGGCATCTTAGGTCAGTCACAGACCGGGGGTGGAAGAGGGAGGAAGGAGCCTGGCCCTTACCTGGGAGACTGGACGTGAAAGGCACACCCCGAACTCCCGCGTGGGAGACGATGTGCAGCCGCCCTGTGCCCCAGGCAGCAGCAAAGTCTCTCCCTGGAGCCGGGCACACAGCTCTGCTCTCTCACTGACTGTGGAGACAGCCTGCCTGCCCCCCAAGGAACTCACCTGTCCCTACAGACACCCCCTGTCCCCCAAAGGACTCACCTGCCCTCCAAAGAACTCACCTGTCCCCACAGACCCCGCCTGCTCTCCCCGCTGCCTCCTCCCACCACCACTCCTGCACTGCGGTGGGCAAAGAAAGGAACGCGTCTGATCTCCCAGGCTTTGGATGGAGCCCAGGCAGGAATACCGGCAAGTGAGGACAGGTTTAGCACCAGGCACGGGGTGCAGTCAGCACTTTGTTTGAAGACTAATGGCGTTTCACGGCTGCCCTATCCCACCAGCGCTCAGCAGAGATCCCCACCCCAGTTCCAGGGTCTGTTCCCAAACTGCTCCCCTGAGGTGATACCAGAGCACTCCCCGTGCTTGGCTCTTCCCAGTCTGAGCCCAGCAGGTAGGTTGGAGGCGTGTCCTTGCCCAGATGTGCTGCAGATGTCAGCTTTCTGCATTGCAGCAGGACTAATGTTCTTTTGGAGTCCCTGACGGGATGGGGCAGGGGACAGCAGCAGGGACCAAAGGCTGCTCTGGGCTGTGCTGGGAGAGCCGAGAGGGAGCAGCCAGAGCAGGCAGAGGTGTGGGTGCTGTGCCTGGGGCTGTGCTGGGACCAGGCAGAGCAGGCAGAGGTGTGGGTGCTGTGCCTGGGGCTGTGCTGGGACCAGGCAGAGCAGGCAGAGGTGTGGGTGCTGTGCCTGGGGCTGTGCTGGAGCCAGCCCTCCCTCGGGAGGTCACATGGAGCCTCCAGAGGCAGCAGATCAAAAGCACCTCTTGCCCTGCTCCCCATCCCTGGTGTTTTGTTATTTGACCCGGTAATAAGGGCTGAATTAATGCACTTGGTCCTTGATGGATGTTTCATTCCCCCAGCAGCCCACACTGGCTGATGCTCCTCAGTTCAGTAGTGCCAAACTGTAGAAGTGGAGAGCAGCTGTCACTTAACCAGACATGAGAGGGCAAAAATAGCAATAAACCCCCCCAAAAGCCCCAGGCTGAGCTCTGCAGGAACCAGGTCTGGTTGTACAACACAATAGTCTGTCACTTGAAGAGACTTCTCCATGACAGACCCATAAAAGTCTCTTTGGCAGATGAGAACAGACTAATTGCTTTATAAAATCAGATGATTGGACCATCTAATGCATCTGCTGGAGACAAACCCAATTGCTTTATGGGACACTGTAAGAGGCAAGTACAAGGAGTGTCCCCATTAATGGAATTTCTTCTTATTACTTCACAATTAATGGGACTTTAGAGCATAAAGGTTTATATCCTCTATATCATTCCCACATGCTTTCATTGCACATCTGCATCCCATCCATGCTGTGTCCTGCAGGCTGTGGGACCTTGGTGGTCTCCTGTCTCCAGGATTTCCACTCTGCAGGGACCTGCAGTTGGTGTAGCTGACAGCAACAACAGGGATTTTTCAAAGCCTCATTTTGACCATTTCTTGCTGTTCCTACAGCACTGCAGAAGTAATTTCCATTTCAAACCCACACTTGGAGCCAAGCTGTACACCACCATCAGTGGTGCCCAGACTGTGTGTACTGTTAGGAGATAATTTATGATACCTAACAAAAATGGTGGCAGTAAGTTTCAGAGCAGCAGATTTTGTTCCTATTTTTGAGACAGACAATGTTTTTTTGCAGTCACATCCTGCCTCAGGCAGTTTTCCATGGGAATTAAGCAATCAATTAATCAATGGCCTTAACATTTTGCAGCTTCCTTCTCCTTCCACAGCTTATTTTGACCTTTTGCTGGTGATACATGCCAAACATGGCAGGATTCAGACTATGAGGAGTGCCTGGATCACTTCCATGATGGATTTACCACAGTTCCATCAGTGGGCAGTTGCAGTAGGCTGGATGGCTCGGGGCTGTTTTGGACAGTTTAATTTGCTTCTAAACTGTGATACACTGCTCGGACCTTTCACATTCAGGTTAAGAAACCAAATCTCTCCTAAAGGCTGGAAAGGAATTGAGTTCTAGTTGTTACCATTGCAGTTTTTCTTTCACAGTACATTGTCATTCCTGAACTCCTCTTCACAGTTCAGTTATTTAACTGAACTGTCTCCATTTCCCACCCTGCTCTGGAATTAAACCCACCACTTGCTCATGCTGAGGAACAGTGATGCCAACTGTTCCCTCATGGAGATGGCAATGGCTGCACTCCAAATAAAGTCTTTAATGCAATGTCCCTTTCCTCTTTATGTTCATGTTTCTAGGACAGGATATGAATTTATCCCCCATTATTAAATTTGACACACCCTGCGTTCTATTTAACAGAATTGCACTAACTTGCCTTACTTTGCCTTTCATTCAGGAGAATATAAGTATTTTGCTGTCTTGCACAGCTTGCAGGGCAGGATGTAAGAATATTCATTCTCCAGGCAAACTGTTATGATTAACAGAGCTAATAAAGACCATGAATATTTAGCAATATATTCAGGCATTTTAGCTATAAATGGGAATATCTTCACCACTTGACTAATTCTCAGCTTCTTTGTGAAGCCAAGTTGTCAAATTGTTTGTTTTGCCTTTGTTTCTCCTGCTCACTGTGAAGGAAGGAGGGATTGAGGGGGAAGGTAGGACAAGTGTGCTATTTTCTTATCTGCAGCGTTGAGCATTGCTAACACGGTCTCTGCTCCCCCTCCCTGTACAAAGTGGGGACAGGAGCCTTTCCCCCATTTCATTTCTGTCTGTATTGATGTGCTGGTGTCCACACACACACTCTGCATGCCAAGCTGCCATTTCTAATGCCTTTCCATGGCACAGGTGGCACAGGGCAGGAGCACAACCCTCTTGGTGCCCAGGGCAGAGGGTGTGGGGCACATTTTTGGGAAGACCCTCTGGACAGGACCAGGACAAGACCATAGAGCAGCTCACAGCCCACCTGCTCTCACTGGAGATGTCCTGGGGCTGGGGCAGGATGGGACCCAGACAGGGCTCATGTCTGCCTGGCTTTGGAGCTGGCCAAGGCACAGACCTGGGGCATTGGGTTCTCCTTGATCCAACATGTGAATATGAACTGCAGGAGGCAAGAAATTATGAACATTGGCTCTGTTGTTATTGTACTTGATTGGGGTATTTATTTGTAATCCTGTAATTCCTTCAGGCCAGCTCAGAGGAGAATGAGGGGGAGTGTGAGGAGGCATTTAAGGGGTTGTAAAAACACTATTCTTTTGCTAAAATTCCATCTCTAATGCTGCTGCATTGGAAGGCAAACCAGCCTAGTACCCAGGTTATGAGCTCCCATGAATTGTCACAGAGAAATAGCCTGGCCAGGCTCAAAAACCTAATTTACCACCAGGCTCAGTCA